GTTTGATATGTAGACAGATAGTGAGGTTAAGCTTAACAGCCTAAGTTGTTCGATAATAACAACAAGCTTGTCTTCTGGATGGTTAACAACTTAAGTTTGCAGACCAAAATTAGAGAAAAAGGAGAGGCTGAAAGGAAAGCCAACATTTTCGCCTTAGCCTTCTAAGGTCAGTTAAGACTGAGGACATATGACAACTTGTACTGTAACATCATGTAACTCGGTAGTGTCCCAAATTTTCTGATCAAGGAGATTAAGGGGCCAAAGAGGAAAATGATCAATGATATAGAGTGTGCCTGGGGAAAGTCACATGGAGAGAAAACATTCTCTCAGGCTTTCACAGAGAGCACATTGGCCAAGCAATGGCCATGACTCATGCACATGGCTGACACTGACAAAGGATCTACAATCTGACGTACAGGATCTCAGGATAAATCCTGAGGGGATTTCACTGACCTTATCAGACCCAAAAGCTACAACTCTTGTTGCGTAGATCCTGATTTACCTTGATCTTAAACATCCAGAGGGAAAGTATAAAAACGAAATATAAGAAATGAAGCCATGCTGCTTTGTTGAGCTGTGGGGGACTCAGGTCAACAATTTCTGACATTGCCAGTTAAACAGAAGACCCAATGCTATTATGGGCTACTTGACTCTTTTAGAATATTTTGCTGAGTTCACAAACCTATAATATTCAAATAACGGAATTTAACCAAATAAGGTTATACAGATGAATGTCCATTTTGCATCTGTGTATTCAGGGTGGTTAGGATAGATGTATAGTTACATTCTGTTAATGAATAGAATGATTTGTTCGAATTGTGTTTGTATATGGGATGTCCAGTCTGCATCTTGTACAGCAATTAACCAATAGAAAAATATATGCAGTGTGTTGATTGTTGAAACTGTCCTACCTATTTGATTTGAAACTGTCTCATTGCTATTTTTATCAATAAAATTATAGCAAAATAATAAAAAAAATAAAAACAAAAAAATGCCATCAGAAATTGACAATAGAATTAGCGAAATTATTCTGCATATACACCTAAATCTCTCTTCCCTCACTTTTATTTGTCCTTCTCCTAATCCCAGTTTGTCCTTCCCATTGAGTAACTTCTTTCCTGTTCACAGTATCTGTTGTATCTTTTAGATTTTCATTAATTTTTAGTGCAGGCTTGTACAACCGTTATGTAAGATCAGTATGGAGTTTCCACAATGAGCTAGGACTGGAGGTGTCATTCAAACCTGCTAGTCTCTGCTAGGTATTTTTCCAGAAGAAATGAAACCATCATGACATAGCAAGATATGTGCATCCATGTTTATAGTAGGATAGTTAGTCATGGGTAAATCTTGGACACATCTTAAATGCCCATCCACCCTGGAATGGAAATTAAATATGTAGTATTTTTACAGAATGAAGCATTACTCAGCTATAAAAAAGATAAATTGGAGGTTTTTGTAGATAAATGGAAGCAGCTACCAACTATATTGGTAAATGAAATAAATCAGATCCACCACATACAAGCATTTCATTTTCTCATTCTCCCAGTGCTGAACTGCATTATCCCTTACAACACCAAAGAAGTTGTTATCAACCTTTCAAAATCTGTTTTCTAGTGTAGAAATAAAATAATCTCAATTTGGCTCCAAGATGGAATTAAGGGCCGAAGAAAGAATCAATAATTTACGTAGCCTTGGCAATTGACATGTTTTTTTAAAAGTTTCTCCTTTGGATCTGGGAGTTCTCTTATTGAACGCAGCCACAATTACCCACAGAATGGACTGTCTAAAGAATGTTGGCTGCTTTTAAAGATTTGGTTCTTTGAATGAGGATCTGACAGTACATTTAGGGCAGGGCTTCCTACTCAGAAACCTGGAATGTGCTGGCAATAAGCAGAGAAGCCTCTGCTTGGAGCTTTACTGCATAAGTAGGAGGAGGGACAGAATGTGCTCATCTAAAGGTCAATTTCATTCATCTCAAAGCTACAATCAGTTCCTCAGGTACATGTTGAGGATAAGTCACATTGCCTATATGACTCCATATGTGAAGTGATATGGAATTTTACATTATTTTGTAGACTTGAAATCAACTTATTCACTTTTCAGAGCTACAATCTATTCCCGACACTGTTAAACATGAGAAAAGCTGCTGTATAGTGATGCTGAAAACCACCTACTTTTCTACTGACCTAAATGATCACATCTTTTCCTTTTCCTTTCTGGAGGTAGCTTTGGAAACAAACTATTCCGAACATCTAAAGGAAATGCCAATCTTCCCAAGAAAATATCAACCTTACAATAAGAATGACTTTTCTAATGAAGGGTAGATCTAAAATGTGTTCCTTTGTTATGTGATATACTCTACAAATTATAAGAAATTATAGACTGCTTTCAAATTTGCAACTTTATATATATTCATGTTCCATTTAAAACCTGATTATATATTTTCTTTAAATGTCACTGTATAATTGAAAGCTTATGAACTCTGCTTTATTACACTTTGCTACTTCTTTAGCAGGGCAGTAGACCACATTAGCAACAAAGAGTTCACGGGTTTAGAGTTATTTTTGCATATTTTTTGTTCCTTTTCCATTTTTCAAATTCACATATTTGATATTTTATTTATTCATTCATTTAATTTTGTGGTACTGGGAATTGAATTCAGGACCCAGCACTTGCCAGGGAATCTCTAATTCTACTGAGCTATCACCCAGGGCCCTTCAGAGTATATTTTAAAGAGAAATGATATTACTTCAGTAACGCTTAAATAATCATGTCAAGAAACTTAAACATCATAGATAAATAAATAGATACAGCTAGATATAGAAGGAGATGGGCAAAACATGGAGAAACATATTATGCTCATTTTGACCACACTGCAACAGTGTGAGCCTAACTAACAGGAAATTCAAGATTTACGGATGTTCTCAGAAATTTAAAGCTAGTTAAAACTAATTGATCTTAATGAAAAAATCTGGAAACTCATTACTCTGGTATTTCCAAGAATGTCAGGCAATGTGTGCAACTAGTAGAAAATTATTGACTCATGTTTACATTAAGGTTAGAATCAGACATTTATGGATATATCTACAAACACAATTGTTTCTCTCCATGTGTCATTAAATTGATTTTCTTTTTGTTTTTGCGGAACTGGGGATTGAACTCAGGCCCTTGCACTTGCCAGGGAATTGCTTATTCCACTGAGCCATCTCCTTTGTTTTCTTTTAAAACAAATATCGCATTTGCTAATTGATTATAAGAGGAAGAATTTCAGGAATGGAGGCTCTAAAATAATTGGAGTAATGTAGCACAAACAAAATGGATTTTCTTACCTGCATTTCCCTTGTGTCCAACTAAAAGAAACTTTCCTGAGCTGGTAATTTCTGGTTAGCATCACTGTGATTGTCCATTTCTTCCGGAGTTGTAGGGTTTGTTGAGATACTTCAGCACTCTAATCAGCTAACCGGCAAGCACAAGGACCTGGGATCAATCCCCAGTTCTGCATGCAGTGTGAGCCCTAGAAACCCAAAGTGTGCTGTGCCAGCCATGGAACCCTGTTGTGGAGGCCCAGGCCTGTTAATCACCCTGCTGGATAGACTGAAACACAGTCTGTCCAGTCTGTGTAGTAATTTGGGCCCCCTCGAATCCAAGCTGTGTAGTAAGACCCTCTAACAAACAAATAAATAAATGATTCAATTTATTTATTTAATATTAAAAATCATTTTAAGAAAGAGGAGAAATGTAGGCATTGCTTGTGTAATGTAAACAATACACTACAAGACGACCTGTGCTACTCCTTTTAAGCCAAAGACTTTGTAGGCAGCAGGGTCTAGCACTAAAGAAGGCATCGTGGTTATCCATGGTTAACCGTGGACCATGTTACTCAGAAAGCATTTACTTTATGGCCCCTGTTAGACCAAAATCAATTTCATTGATATTGGTAAGTTTAATTAGATTAGCATACTCATTGAAAGTTTTTTTTATATAAGGTGGATTGTTGTAGAATTATGTAAAGACACACCAATATTTTTAGTTATGTATTTTCAGTACAATATCTTTGTACGGAGAAAGGGAAAGAACTTGCTCAGTGGGAAGGAACAACTAGGATGAGAAAATGGACAAAAGAAAGAAGGGAAAAAGACATTTATGTATACCTATGCATGGAAATTTGGATAATTGCACTGCCAATTTACTTTTGCCTTAAAGGAATTGAATGCTTAAAATCTGTTCTCTTTAGATTTTTCTTTTTCTTTTTAATTTCTTATAAAGCTATTATTGTTCCATTCTGTTTTGCTTTTCTTTTGTTTTAACCAGTTTTGCATGTTTATACCTGGTAAACTAAACAACTATTTGGAAGACAATATCATGCAATACAGCAACATGTGTTGAATTCCAAGTACTCAGTTTGGTGACATTTTATCCTTCTCATGATATTTTTTTTTTCTTCTGTTATTATTTATTCTGTAAAATGCATACTCATGTATGTCATCGTAGCTGTCCAATAAGGTGATCCAAGATGCTTCCAATCCTAGTTCCGACTGGGGCAGTGACTAGTTCCGACTGGGGCAGTGCCTAACCAGCAACTTGGTCTCAGAACTGTCTGCAGTTGGCTGCTTCTCACGAAATTTTATTGCAATTTGAAATTATGCAATACTGTTTATTTACCTGAGAAGTCTTTGAAGTGGTTGACATGTGCAATGATTTACCTTTCTTATCCAAATTTCTCACCTGTTGCTATTTGTTTAATGGTTTTCTTTTTTATAAGGAGAGTATATTGCATATTGCATAAGGTTGATATAAAGAAGGTTTAACTACATTTTTCCTTTTTCCTGTATGGAATTCATCTTCACAAATAATGTATTTTTTTAAAATAAAACAGATTTTAATTTCTTTCTGTGTATTCTCAGTCTATCATATAAAAACTTAGTAGCCACTTCTATATAGATTTCTAAGGCATTTATATTAGAATGGATAACTTAGGTTTTCTCACTTTGATTTTTAGCCCATGACTGGAAGCAGAACACCATTTTGAAATATGTAAGTAAATATTGAGAAAGGTAAAAACATCACAATGAATTGAACTACCTCTGCTAGAATTTCTAAAAAATACAATGAAGGCAGTGTGTATACATAGACTTATTTTTCTGCATGTTCTAAATATGTGCATTGTCCAAAGATCTTTCAACTTTGCTCAGAAAAGTCTCATCTTATAAATTTCAATCTTTAACCGCAATTGGTATTTAAATTCCATGACTCCAAGTTCAAGAGAATGAGTTCAATTCCCATTTCTGCAAACAGAAAAAAATATAGATAAAAATAAATAAATAAATAAATAAATAAATGAATTCCATTGCATAGGCATAATGTTATCTACCTGAAATCAGGTGTCTTATTTTTTATAGTGCTTGAACAAGTATAAGTACATTGTTTAATATATCAGGCATTAGCATTATCCATCACTGACTCTTTTCATCACATTTTTCCAACTTAATGAAATGTATGATATATTTTCAATTAAATAACTGATTGATATTTATGAATATCATGAATGCTGAGTTATGTAGTAGCATTTACATGGTGCTGTCCCTTTTTACACTTTTACTTCTTTCTCTAAATGTTTCTGAAGTCTGAGCACTTTTTGAATTTCTCCGAGATCATCCCTTCCCTAAGCAAAATTAACTCACAAAGCCAAGTGAAAAATGAAAACAAAAATCTTGAAAGGATGTGACTTTCCAAGGGAGTAATGTAATGTTAGTTCTCCAAACATGAATGGAACACTAACATCTCAAAGTTGTCTTTGTCTTCTATTTTATATGTGAGGGAACATTAAAGGGTGAGCGTAGAAATTGTTGAAGGTACAGGCCCACAATGATGTGCAGGCCTGGCTTGATAGGGCCTGACCATATTGGCTATAGGGTCCTTTGACTCTGAAGTCTTTGTTTCATTGCACTAATATACTTAATGTCAGTGAGTCAAGGAAATATTAAACTTTTGTTTGGTGAACAAAACTATTACTATGCTTCCAACAGTATTGAAAGTATTACATTTTAAAGGCATTATATCCTGTCTCACATTTTCCTCGTTAAAATTAAACTCTTAAAATCCTACTACAAAATTTTTAAGTAATTATGAAGGAATTCATTCTAACTGCTTGTCAAGTTTAAACATAGGACCCATAAGAAGGGTTATATTTTAGAACCTACACCTCAAACACCACTGAAAATAAAGCACTTCCTGCAGTTGGCCTGTTGCAGATCCTTCCACATGACATGGGTCTCAGTCTGTGCACTGTCAGAAACATCTGCATGGCTTGTCATTGGACATTTTCACCAAGAGAAAACCCCCATCTCTTAAGTGTCTCATTTCCTGTGACATTTTCTGGTACTCTCAACTGCTTCCAGGTAACACCAGGGCAGCTTTCCAGGATGTACAGCTCCTGCTCAACAATATTTCTAGATGACAGCACACTCAGCCAGCCTAATTGTTCCAACATAATACAACGGTGAGTACAAGAAATTACTGAGGCCTGAACGACATGCTCCAACTACTAACACATTTCATCCATACTGGATAATTCAATCCAAATGACCATTCTATTCCTTGCTTAATTTAAGCATTTTGGGATTAATGATATCTATTGATTGTAAAGACCTAACTAGATTTTTAATTTCTCTTTTACTCTCAGACTGAATGGTAGAAGAGAACATCAGGTAGCAATCCCTGTGGATTGTGAGTTTTGGCTTTCAAAATGTGGTTTGTATTTAGTTAGAATGGTGTTTCTCTCATTCTTATTCTCAGTAAACCATGTAAACATCACACAAATTACTTTGGATTCTAATGTGCCAGCTTTTTCTTTTTAGTTATTCATTTATAAACTGCTACCTTGGCTCAGGAACTTTATTCCCACAGCATTAAATCTTTGAAACATAAAAAAAATTAAAACAAAAATTCAATAAAAACTGAATTGGAAGAGGCTCTCATTAAATTCTGTAGTTAACTTCAAGGCTAAATGTACAGGAAAATTGGATTGAGTAATAGTTTAATTCATTTTATGACCAAAATTGCAGGAAACATGAAATCTATGACCTGAGCAAAGCACAACCGTAATTTTCTTGTCATGAAAGGAATTGAAATAACTTTGTGTTTCATCAAGAAACTCATTATATGCCTATTATCTCATGTAGCCTTCTATCAAGTCATTGCTGAATGTGCGTATTCTAGCAAGGACCTAATTCCATACATAAAAACTGGTTTACATTGATTAGGACTGTCTGTTTCTTTGCCTTAAAAGCCTTGTGATGCTTCAATGTAGAATTCAGTACAGACTTTTCAGGAATCATTTTTCTTAGGTACTTTCTTACTTATTTTTCTCCTACTACATTTCCAGACCTCTGCATTCTGAAGCGCTGTAAGTTTTAAGTGGCTTCCTTTGTATTTTGTTAAATAATCATTCTTTTCACTGTTTTCAATTAAATATTTCATGTGTACTAGGGCAAGTAGGAATGTAGGAAAGACTTCTATATTTTTATCATGGAGTCAAAGGTCACTGTTCTCAACAGGATAGGTAAACCTTTGGATTAATAATCAACATTCTCAAAATTTATATCCGCTAATACACTAATTTTTCATTGCTTCCGATTGCTTCATTACAAGGATGCTCACAGCACTCTAGGAAATGAGAGATGAAGGAGAGGTGCAATAACATACACAGAGGCTTACCCAGAGATGCTGACCTTAACTGTGAAGTTACTCACACAATTTATTGCCTGCTGGAATCACCTGGGGAAATTTTGAAGGCACTACGTACAAATTCAGACCTGTTCCATTTAATCAGAATGAGTCCAGCTGTAATTCAGGATTGTTCTAAAGTTCCTCAGGTGATTCCAGTGTGCAGGAAAGTTTGGGAATCACACGGATTAACAGAATAGTGTATAGGAATGAATTGCTGCTGAATGGTGGAATTTGGGATAATTTCTGGTTTCCTTATTTGTCACATGTCGTTATTGGATGAAATTTCTTTTTAAAAATTGATTTTACTGAGAAATATCAATGAGATAGTTTCAAAACAGGTTAGTAGGATAGTTAAGATAATTCATACATTGTATATTGTTATCTTCACAGTAGTTATTCATAACACAAATGAAGACATGATATATTATCTAAACACTATTAGTACAGCTTAGCTCAGTTGTTTAAGCACCAGCTCTCGAAAACCAGTCAGGCACATCAGACCCCACTCCGGTGAACACTTCCACCTGCCTTACCAGACCCGCCCTTAAGGTAGCCTGAGTCAGCCAGGAAAAGAAAATCCTTTGGAAGAAATTTCAAGTAATGTTTAGTAAGCCTTTTCAGTGTCTCATGGTCAGTCTGTGATGAAACTCCATTTGGAGTAAAAACTGATTCAAACCCTATAGAAATGTTCTCGGATGTGTGTGCTCTGAGATGGCTTACATTTTAAAACACTATCAGGATTTGTTTGTAAACCAGATTAGAATTTTCTCAATGATGTTAGGCTTCATTTTGGACAGTGAAGGCAAGAGGAAGCCTATTGCTCACCCACATGTGCCCCTTTGTTCCCTAATATACAGCACCTGTGCATAACTTAGACATGAAGTCACATCTGAGGAGATGGTTCTTTTTGTTAATACTTTATTTAAATTACCTTTGAAACATTTGCTATAAATAATATACTATATAGATGTATGCTGCAATAGTTGCATGAAGAATTAGGTTTACTAGGAAGTTTTCTTGTCATGGAAAAGTGATTATCATTGTTTATAGTATAGGACTACTATTATTTAGAAAAAGAAGAAATACAATGTACAGAGGAATAATAAATCCAGTCAACTGAAAACATGCATGGCACTCCAACTATTTTAAACAAATATTGTGTGGTTTATTCTTAAGCACACTGAACATATATGGAGAAATTCTCCAGGATAGAAGTTTTATGTTTGGAAATGACAGGAAAATGTGTAATGAGGTATAATAAAAACACATGCATTGTAACTTCACATTGCCTACATCTGGCCTCTAAATACAATAATAGCTGATGAAATTTTATAGATTGGAAAGTGACCATATGGTACTCTTCTGACACTGGAGGACTTCATGGTTATGGGATATCCTCCCTTTAAAATATGTATTCCATTTCACCAAAAGGTAGACTAAGTCATAAGTGTTGTATATTTTTTTCTTTGACAGTGTCATTTTTGCCTTATATTTTCACATACAGAATAGGTAAGTACTTCAGAACCTATCTTACTCTTGCAATTAATTTGCAAAATACCTCATTAGGATTAGGTCCTGACTGAAGGCATCAAAGGTGGTACTTTGCTTTTGGTAACATACACAAATACATCAATTTGCATTATTATAATTAGGACTGCTGAATATTTTCTCTTGACAATCCAAGAGAATATGGGCCTATATGGATTAAATTGATACTCACTGTTTAGAAATTAAAATTGACAGTTCAATGTACACGTATGTGTGTATGCAGACATATGCGTGCACAGTGAGGAAGTGTTCATGCAGTGTTTCCTGTTCATGGACATCCTGTCATTCTGAGTTAGGTTATTCTGTGAGGTGGGTGTTCTCCTATGCAGTGCAGGATGTTTCACAGGAGTACTGCCCTCTGCCTAGGAGATGCCAGTAGCTTTCTCCTTCACGTGGAGATAACCAACAATGTCCAGTGTTGGAAAAAGTCACTCTTGTCAAGAACCACGTTGCTAATAGAAATAACAAGATATGACTAGATTTTATAACAATGTTACATTTCAGTTCCTACTTTGAATTATGTGAAAAAAAATACTATCTATTTGCACTTAATGTACCCCTCACTTGACTGAAGAGAACAAAATTAGATTCTCATGTATACTGGCTCATGTGCAATGACTTTTGAAAAAAAATAATAAAACAACATATTCTCAGAGAGATATATATGTAGATACATGCACTTTAAAAATTTTCAGATACCTGTGGATAGTCGTTTAATAAACATAGCAACACTTAATTTCTTAAATTAGGTTCAATGACATTTTACACAGTACCTTTGATATTAATACATTCATTTTATAGGTCCATTTGCAAAATGCATAATTTTTTAATATTGTGTGGTTTATAATATACATTGTTCAGCTTGGACACACCTGGGTCAGATTTGTTTCTAATATCTAAAAAGCTTGTATTATTATCATCACTCTTCTTAGCAAAATGTTTTCCAGGTTTTGATAATCTGTCACATGCACAATAGAAAGTATATATTTTCCAGAATTTTGATTTTTACTATCACTACTTTTAATATTGGCAAGAAATATATCTTCATTTTCCATATATCCCTATTTTTTCCAATTTTGATACATGTAGTTTCATGGAGAAAGGGTGTTCCATGTCAAGCAGCGTGTGCAGCTCACAACTAAACCACAAATAGCTTTTCTGAGCACAAATGCACTTCAATATGCAGAAAAGTTTTATGTGAACTTTTCACTTATCTAGAATATTTGAAAAAAGGGCTAAGATTTATTAACACTAGTCTTTCCTGTTTCATCAAGCACAATCTTCAAAACATTGGCTTTCAGGCAAAACTGCAATTGACAGTGAAACATACTGACTACTGATGTAATGTCGTACCATGGGCTTGATTCATGGGGAGAGATTAGCCTTACTTAAATTTTTATATCAGCATAACAAGGGTCCAAAAGTGAAAAATCAAAAATTGTCTTCATCCATTTGCAAGAACACTTTGACTTCATGAGCCTCCTGAAAAAGAGACAGGGAAATCTGTAGAGGTCCAAAGACCACAGCAAACCACCTTTTAAGACAGCACACTATACTTCTATCAAAATACTGGTTCCTTCTACAAATTCAGCTAAGTTTTTAAACTTCCTTTACAGGATTAACGAGGAAAATCCTGGAAATCTTTTTCACATTTACATTTTTTTTTCTTTTCAAAGTTTTATTGATAAACATATAGCAATGAGACAGTTTCGAATCAAATCAAAAGTACAGTTTCAACAAATAATACACTGCATATATTCTTCTTAGTGGTTAATTGTTGTACAATATGCAGGCTTGTGATCCTACTTACAAACACCATTAGAAAAAATCATTCTATTCATTAAGAGAATGCAACTATATATCTATACC